TATATATATATATATATATATATATATATATATATGTATGTGTATATCTATTTCTTAAGTTGTCGGCATCATCAAATGGACCAGTTATCAATTGATTACAATCCAAAAAATCTTTCCATTTTTCATTAGAAACACTACATTTAACAGGTCACTGTGAAAACACTTTTATTTAAAAGTGGGTACTAAGATAAGACATCCAATAGCTAGATATTGTCTGTTAAGGAGAGATGTTTGAAAATAATCAAAATCAAAACTGTCACAGGAAGTACAGGGATATAAAGAGACATTCAAAAGGGACTTGCACAGACAAGGTCAAATTAGAGCTGTTTTCTTTTTTTTTACCATTTTAAAAAGCAAATGGATATATAGTTTCTAAGTTACAGGGACAAAACGGCTACACCGCATATAAAATGGGGTCACAAGTTGATTAGTTAATGATCCAGAGGAAAAAATCTGTAAAGCTTTTAACTCCTTGTTGTACTTATAGAAAATGCTGTTACCTTGCCTTTATATACCAACAATCTTGACTTTTTTCCTTCTCTCTTGGCAGTGTCTACCATCCATTCAGTGGTGTGCTCCAACGAGTCCCTCTTCTATTTTCTCTTCTTCTACCCTTTCCCCATCTTCGGCATCCTCCTCATCGCCTTACTGGTTGTTCGCTACAAGGGTCGCAGCAACAACAAGAGCCAAGAGGGCAAAAATGGTGCCCCTCTGCTCTGGATTAAGGAGCCTCATCTCAGTTACTCCCCCACCTGTCTGGACCCCCCAGCACTCAGCTTGCACCCTGGCTCGGTTGACTAAGCAAAGCAGGGTCCAATCCCCGCCCCTTTTCCTGCCTCACGCACATTGCGGACTCAGCCGACACAATGCCAGGGAGCCTTTTGTGGACTCCGCCTACAGATAATACTGTTGTTCAAAGCCGTGTTGAATTAGTCAATGAGTTTAAAGATTTCTAGCCTGGAGGCTGTTTGTTTTTATGTTGACGAATGTGTGTTTGTGTGCGTGGCCGTGCTGACAGGGATGGATGTACCATTTCAGCACAAATAATTGTGAGAGGGCAAAGCGAAGGGCGAGAGAGAGCCGTGAACCTCTCCCGATTTCTGTAAAGCCTAATCCTATAATTACGTTTGATTTCTATTTCAATAAATATTTATCTGTTTTTTAAAAGTGGTGGAATGAAGCAGAAAAGAACGCAGGCCAGTCTTTGAAAAACATATAAAGTGAACTCAGCAGGCAACTCCAGCATTATACGGGATGCCAAAAAAGTCTTCAAACTGATCCAAGTGCAGCCACAGCCTAGCCTCCTATCCTGGTTCCCATAGCAATGCTCTGCTCCCACTGACTTCGTAGCTGCCGGCTCCGTTGCCAGGCTGCATGGAGACAAAGGCTAGGACACACAAGTCTGTGTCCTAAACGAGTTTGTGTGTCGGCCCACCTGCCTTCACAATGGATTCGCCTTGGCAGACTGAAACAAGTCCTGGTGAGCCACTTAAACAGTGCCAGACACTCTGGCCCAAGCGAAAGACTACCCTGCTCTTCTTCTCCACTATCCTCCTCGAAAAAGAGCAAGGGAAAGTAAAGAAGACTGAAAACTATTGCAAATAATTGAAAAGGTCTCTTTTATTGAGGACGTATCCACATAAACAAAAGTAATTTTAATTTTATTTTAGTGCCAAGTGCTCCTCATTTCCATGCTGTCATCTGCAGCTAAAGTTTGAAGTTTTTAGACAGTTGGAAAGCTGATCAGTTCAGAGGCAGGCGAATTGAAACGCCTGCATATGTCCCGCTGTGGATCCATGGGCCTTTTGGGCAGTTGAATCCTAGATAAGATTAACTTTTTTGATTCAATTAACTGAGATACTGAATGAAATTCCATTTTTGCACATTTTCTTTAGTTTCCTTTTAATTTCTTTTAATTTTTTCTCCTTTTTTTTGTTTTTGTTTGACAGATAGGCCACATTAAAGATTATTTATCTGTAGAAGTGTCATAAAACACTACCAAAAATTTTACCTGGACATGATTTGATGAGAATAAATGTTTGATTTTGACATATTTTCTATTTATTGTTTTATACTTTTTTTGCATTGCTTTTTATTATGATGTTTTCTTTTTTTCCCCTTATTCTTATTTCTTTAACATTTAATACTTTGTGGATTGAGCACATTATATGAATAGCCTGTATGTTAAAAATGTGGTAGAAGTAGAAATGCTAGATCTGTCCTGCGCATTGCAGTTTGTAGCATTTCATTACCAGGCTGTCAGGTTCTTCAGTGTCAGAACACTGTATATCTATACATATAAGAATATGCTGTGGCTTTTAAGTGTACAATAGTTGAACAGACAAGTCACATAAATTGATTCACATCTATGCTTTTTTTGCTTGTTTATTTAGTGAAATGTGATGTAACACCTTCTTAGGTAGTTCAGCTAAAACTTGGGATGTTTAAGTTCTTCTTTTTTTTTTTTTTTTTACATGGAAGCTGGCTCCCTAATATTTGTGATGTAAAGCAGGAGGGCTGACAGCTGTGCCACTTTCTCAGCCCAGAGAGGTGAAATCTTCTGCGTAACCTGTGCACTGCCAGACTGGACATGAGATCTCTTGAGAAAAAAAAAAAACTGTCTCAGTTGTGTCAACATGTATATTGCATGACAATGTTACGGGGGGAATTTTGATGTTTTGTAAAGTTTCGAACATTTTGAGCTTTGTGTTTTTGTGACGGAGCTGACAACTCCCCTCCCACTCCTCTTTCCTCCCGACCTTCCTGAGCCAAGAGCTGATGCAGTGTCCAGTCCCTCCCTCATCTTCAATATTTGACTGCCGGTCCAATACGCCCTTCCAACCTCTTTAAATAGCTGATTTTAAGAATGGTGTTGTGGAGATTGTGTTTGATATTATTGCTCATAAATGTCTTTTTAATGCTTTGCTTTTATGCAGCACTTCATTAAACAGATTTATGTCAATAAAAACCAAAATGTGTTCCCAGCACTGATTAGATGAGTATTATATTATTAAGATGTATACCTTGTCACATTACTACCATAAAATATTGTATTTTATTTTTTAATAGTGTGTTTTAAAGTGATTTTATGTGAAAGGCTAACACATATTACACACATTATTGCAAAGTGATAAAATTGATGCATCGATAAACATTTTCTCAATGACTCTACAGTAAAAATGACCTATTCATTCACAACAAGACCCCGTTACTTTTAATAAAATTAAATAAAATCCATTTCAATTAGTTGCATTCAAAATCAGTAAATGGAGTCATCGATGTAACACAAAATAAAATAACATTGGTGTAAGTCCCAATAACATATCATTTGGATCATTACTGAAAAAAAATATGGAAAACCTTTGGTAAAACAATTTCCATAAAATCCATAAGTCTTGTATTGATCCTGCTTAAAACCAACAGCATTCCCTTTCCTTGTGTTTTTGACTTCAGTAAAATACCATCTGACATTTTTAGTCTGATGCTGAGGCTGTAAATCAGGGGTCACCAACCTTTTTAAGGCTGAGGGCCACTTCAAGGGTACTGAGTCATAAAAAGGGCTACCAACACTGACCCATGCACAGCAAGGGTGTTCACCTAAACTTTGTTATACATTATAAACATTTTTATTGTGTCCTTTAAGTTCTAATTGTATTTTAGACATTGTCCTTTTTAAAGGATCTTTAAATTATTTAAAAAGGAGAGAAACAAAATAGAAGAAAATTTCAAACCTAGCCCACTGGTGAATTTCACCATGTAGACCATGAGGGGCCCCTTGGTGCCCGCGGGCACCACGTTGGTGACCCCTGCTGTAAATATTCACTGCTGCCACCCTCTGGTTTAGTGACGAACTGCTTGTATGCAAATACCTCCATCTCACAATGTTAAAGAATCTTTAAAAATAAGCTGTTTCCAGAATAGGATCTGGATCATCACCAAAATGTTATGGATTGTTTCTTGGCATAATGGACAGAGTGATAAAAATTCCATTAACATCCACCCATAAAATTTCAAGTTATCCTACACAAGAACAGACAAACACAAACTCGCCCCAAAAAATTATCTCCTTGGCGGAGGTTAATAAACACACAGCTGTTCTGCAAAGGCCACTGGGGTTTGTTGAAGAAAATTCTTGAACAAATGATGTAGTAAATTATGATTGCAGTTGTAATTGCACTGTTAAATAATCTGTCCGCGCCTTTTTATGGCTGTCTTTCTTCAGCAAAGACTACAGTACAAAGCTGGCCGGAGTTTGATGGAAAGATGAACCAAGTCAGAAACAAGGACACACAGGAAGGGAAACACCACAGGAAGTAAAATTCTTAAAACTTTGGTAGAGTTTGATCTTAAAGCTGGACAACAATCCTAAACATGTAGTCTGTCACAAGGCACTGAACTAACAGACATATTAATTGTAATCAAAGATCCCTGATGCATCAATACACCAAGGACGTCGTTCACAAATACTCTACAGAAGAGACAGTGATTTTTCTTGTTTTGCAGGATGCCTAAAATCTTTAAAGACAGATGTAGGAAAATGCAACTTACAAAATAAAGTGTAACTCATCCCATACTGTATGAAAACATAATCCATCCCCAGAAAAAAGTGCAACCAAAGAGATCAGAGCAAAGAGACCAAGGCTAAGTGTGGGGATGGTTGTTCGCTACGATGGTAGGTGTGGTCTATGAGTAAGTGGCAAATAGTCTAGCCTAGCCTATCAGAAGCATAGAGAGTTTGTAGAAAGATGCAGTTAGTTTCATCACCGATCTTTTGCTCCGAAGGATTTTCAACCTTCTCTGAGGTTGAGGAGGGCTTTGGGCTGGAGCCTAATCAGTTGTAGCCACTTGCTTTAACATGCTAACTTAAATTTACACATGGAACACAGCAATTGCAGGTTTTATACTCTTTGTGGCTTTTACCTATGCATAATTTTCTTACTGTCTCTAAGGGGGGTGCATGCAGGGCAAAGACTGCAAGCTTATAATTCTACACAGTGTTTGAATGCAGTAAACGTGGTTGTTTCCAACATTTTCAAAGCCTCTTTGTGTCATCCAAGAGTGACTGTAATTTCTTTGTTGTTCGCAATCTATTGATTGTGTTGATATTTATGGGCAAACCAGAAGATGTTGCTAGATGTTTATAATTAGGAACCATTACCAGCAGGTGCTCCCACTCGTCCACCATGTTTCTCCATGCAGATCTGTCTGCATAGTTTCCTAGGTGCACTATGTGGAAAATCAGGCAACTCAGATGCTAAAATGACATAATTTGATCATGCAAAAATGCCATGCATAAACCAGGCTTCAGTAATGCCTAAAACCAGTGCTGCTGAGGCAGTGGACAAGATCACTTGGTATGGGGGCAACGTCTCTGTGACCCGTTTTTATTCCCCAGATCCAGGGCTATAATGACCAATGCTTAAACAGGACCAGCAACTACCGTTTGAACCAATGGAAAAGTTCACTGCAATTGCCACTGTTTCATGACTTAGGTAGCACTTAAAAAAAGAAACTAGCTAGAACTTTCACAATTACTTTAACATAGTAAAGTTGAAATAACTGCTTAAAACGTTGAACCTGCCCTCTTGTTTTTTTAAGGACAAATGACTTTGTATAAATAATCAAAGCTATTTTTTGAAATGAAATGTAACAAAAAAAATAAATGTCTTGTGCTTTTAAGTACCATAATCCTAGAAACATTCTTCCGCATTTTAAAATGAGACACATTGTATGATAAAGCAGGTACAGAAAATGGCTCCCATTTTCAAACCTTCGCCATTGAAACGAGAGCTGTAGTATCAGCATGGGTGGTTCTATTATCTTATTTCTCACAGTAGACCCGCAGCTGTGTTATCTTGATGAAAGGATGTTTACTGGTTGCACCACTAATGCCTTTTGTTGAATTTAGCAATGTTTTAATAGAACTGGTCAAAAATCAAATGCAGCCATCGTAATTTACTTCATTTACGTAGTTCCAAGAGGCTGATCAGGTTCTTATACAGAAATGTTTCACTAGATCACTGAAATAAGACCCTCAGATCATATCTTGATGACAACAATTTCAATTCAGTTCTAGTGATAAAACAATCCAGTGAAAATCTATTTATTAGAACTTCCATAATTATAAAGAAACGTTTATTGTCTGAAGAACCTAGGAAATTTTATTGGGTCTCTGGATTAATCCCTCTGCCTGAACAAGCATGTGGCAAAAGTGGACAGCTGATTGCATTGGGTTGCTACATCCTTGCTGTTATCGTTGTCAAGCAAGCATGTGGACATAGTGGACAGGCACAAACTAGTGGATAAGACCAGGAAGAAACCTTCAGTGGCCCCCTCAATGTTAGAAGCCATCTACAACATTCTGTTTGGGGGTTTGAGTAGACACCAGTGTTGTTTTTGACAGCCATCTTAGATTTAGTCTTTGTCTTCAGGGCGAAAACTATTATTAGTCTTAATCAAATTTTAGTCATTATGATATGTGATAGTTTTAGTCGGTTTTAGTCGACTAAAACTTAAAAAGGTTTTAGTCTAGTTTTAGTTTTATGTTGCAAAAAAAAGTTAATGTTCAATTTCAAATAACTGCCAGATTTTTTTTTATCAGACTGATAACTGTAAACTAGATACTACAATTGCTGGGTATAAAATGCTGCCATGCCATCATTGCTGTTGGGCAGAAAACTTTGATTTATAGAATTCAAAAGGATGACAATACAAGGAAACATTTACATCATATTTAAACAGATAGAAACGAGAACAATGAGAGAGAAATATTCAAAGATCTATGTACCTTTTCACCTGGCTCTTTATCCAAAAATAAACAAAATGCAATTAAATATTTTCTTTGGATATAATTAAGGGATTCCTTTTGGTAAAAATAAATGAACGTTTATTATCACCTCTTGTGAGCTTTAAGAAATGAAATCTAAATAGAATAAAGGATTTTTTACACTTGGCAGAGGATGATCAGCCACATAGTTTATTAAGTAGCGAGAGCAGTAAGAGCCATACTGCTGAGATCGAACCATCATTGTGGAGTGTGAAGCGCAGCCTCTGAGATGCGTGCGTGCAAAGATGCATTTCTGCTCGAGCACAGGTGTTGAGATCTAAAATTGTCAGAGTTGAGTGCACTGTACCGGACCATTCCGGGTAATTTTCTCCCCTGCCGCTGCTGCCATGGTCCTTCTGTGGTCATGCAGAATCCGCACCACTGCGCGCCAGGCAGTGGGCATGACCAAACAAGACGCAGCAGCACGGCTGATACTGCTTAAATTGTCTAACAGATTACAGTACAGTGATGTAGGTTAAAAGTCTGACCCACCGCCCGCGTATTTTTATTTTGTCTCGTCTATTTGATGATAACTCAAACCTATGACTAGTCGTGGTTTAGTCATCAAAGATCCATTTTTAGTTTGTCAGTTTTCGTTATCGTCATGAAAAAAAGGAGCGTCAACGAAATATTTCGTCATCGTTGACGATAAAATACTGGTAGATACTTCTGTTAGTAATGAAAAAGAATGGTAATGGCAGCAATGGCTCATTAAATGGCTTCTTCGGAGAGAAGAGAGCAGCAATAGCAATGAGTTAGCAACGAAATTGTTACATAATACATAAGTGAAGAGCAATAGGACAAAGTACCATAGCGAGCAAAGTGTAATCTCCAGCAGTCTAAACCTGCAACATTATGACTATAGTAATAGCTCAAGAGTATCCTGAGTCACAATCAAATGAGACATTTTAGAGACATTAAGTAGACAAAGACTGAGACGTGAAGTTATGAGTGAAGGAGCCTCAGGAACCAGATATCTGATTATTCCATGTCAGTAGCATATGAAACAATGTGATGTCTGATGGAGATTGATTTCTAGAAGCATCTTACATGAGGAGGAACATTTGGAATTCTATTTTGGATTTAACAGAGAACCAAAAATATGTATGTAGCATTTTGAATAAGCAAAATGTTTTTTACTGATTTTGGACCTTTGATA